CTTCTCTTTATCCTGAGATCAGGGAGTTGCAGACAGTAGTAAGGTCTTTCCTTAATCTTCTCTAAACTGAACAGACTCAGATCTCAGCCTCTCCCCATATGCCACATTCCCCAACCATCTTGTTGGCCCTCTGCTGGACTTGCTTCAGTTTGTCAGTAGTTTTTCTTTTACTGAGGAACCCAGAACTGGACACCACTGGACACCACACTCCAGATGTGGTCTCACAAGTGCTAGATAGAGGAGAAACATCACTGCCTTTTTCAGCTGGTTTCACTGTTACTAATACAGGCCAGGATGTGTTTGGCTGTCTCTGCCACAAAGACACACTGCTGAGCCTTGTCGAATGAAGTTAACTCTATCCTAGGTGCAGGACTTTGCATTTGCTTTTGATAACGCTTGTGAGGTTCTCATCAGCCCATTTTTCCAGCCTTTGAGGGTTCCTCTGAATAGCAGACGTGCCCTCCAAAGTGGTTGACAGAGCCCCACCCCTAATTTGGTGTTGTCTGCAAGCTTGCTGAAAGTGCACTCCATCAGATCATCCAGGCTGTTAGCAAAGAAGGCAAGCAGTATTGGCCCCATCATCACTAGCCGAGGGATACCTCTAATGACTGACTGCCAGATGGACTTTGTATCACTGGTTCTAGCCCTTTGAGCCCAGTGATTCCAGGTGATACTCGACCCACCTTATCATCCGTCCTTATCTCACTAATTTGGCTATAAGGATGCTATGGGAGATTGTGTCAAAGGCTAAAATCAAGGTAATCCAGTGCTCTTCCTTATCCGCAGAGCCAGTCGTCTCCTCATAGAAGGCAATTGTGTTAGTCAGGTATGATTTACCCATGTTAAATCAGTGATGGCTGTTCCCAATTGCTTTCCTGACCTTCATGTACTTTGTGGGAGATTTGTTCCATAATTTTCCCAGGCTTGATGTGAGGCTTAATGGCCTGTAGTTCCCCAGATTCTCCTTCTTGCCTTTCTTGAGGATGGATGGGACATTTGCCTTTTTCCAGCCATTGGGAACTTCTCCAGTCCCTCTGACTTCTCAAAGGTTATAGAGTGTGATAGCCAGGTGATAGGCCTGTGTCCATCGATTGCAGCGCTCCAGTCAGGTGAGCTATCCCACCATGTCTCCATAATCTCAGAGACGTCAAAGCTGTCCTCTGTGCTTGGACTTCTTCCTCCTGATGGTACCCCGTGGTGTGTATGTGTGCATACAGGTACTTGAGAGGAGCCTCAGTGAGGGTGCTCGTGTAATGCAAGAGCCTTCACCATCCTATTGTGCCCCCGCTGCTTCCTCACTGCCTTCATACCTCCACTTCTCATCACAGCATGACAATGCTTCCCCAACACACATAATTTAAAACTCTTCCCACTGTATTAGTGAACCTGTTGGCAAAGACGCTCCTCCTCCAGTTCGCCAGGGGAATGCCATCCCTGTGCGGTGGTCCTTGTTCTTCAAAAAGGGTCCTGTGGTCATAGAAGCTAGAGCCCTGCTTGCAGCACAAGCCACACAGCATTGTGTTGACTGTGGGATGCATCCACTCCCACCTGAGCAAGTGAGCCCCCTCACTGGGAGGACTGAGGAGATGCTACTAGGGTCGCATCCCCCTCACTATTATCTCAGGGCTGTCAGTCACCCTTGATGTGCTCAAGGTCACTCTAGTGGTACCACACAGATGAGCAGTCAGGGAACTTAATGTTTAGCATATGGCTATTTTGGAAAAGAAGAAAAAGGAAAAAAAAAAAAAAGGAGAACAGCTTAGCTAATGAAAATGTTAGTCAGTGCCTTTACTAAGGCTTGTTTTTATGGAGTTTGTAAACAGAAGACAAAAAGAACCCAGTGCATGGGTACGTTGCAGCCACTGCTGTCTTTGGTAGGAATCTTTCTTAGCAAAATGGAATTGTTATAAGAAGACATGAAAAGCTGCACTAGTGGGAATTCAACATTCTCAGCTCAGTTTGTGTAACAAGGGACAGGAAATGTGCCTGGTGTCTTTTCTACCCAGCTTGTCATTAACATATACTAGCAAGTGTGGTAATAAATTGGTCAGCCTGGAAGTGTTTGAATTATCTCTGATCAAGAGCTGGTGGCACAAAAAATAACAGATGGAAAAGTGGTTGTTCTAAAGCTGTGGACACATGTAGAAACACAGCCATACAACAGCTATTAGGCTGTGTGCTCTTGGGGAGGTTTTGGTCCTAGCCAAGGACCAAGTCAAGGCTACAAATTGCATAGTAGTCTGTGCCTGGGGATAAAGACCCATGTATTTGTGTTGGAAGAACATAATAGAATAAGACAATACAGAACAGTTTAAATAATAACATATAAAAAGGAAAAGTAAGAAGTTTTATCTCAGATGTAGGAAAGAGTTGCTGCTTTAAGGTAGTTTTCAGATAAATGTTGATCAGATATTGATAATGCTTGGTCGATCTTATAAAAGGCACTTGAAACGTTCAACATTTCTCAGGATTGTGCTGACACACCATGTTGGACAGTGGTCCTGCTGCAGTAAGGTGGTATTGGTCCCTCTGAGGTCAAGTAGTAGAACAGCCATGCTTTAATGCAAATGGATGTTTAGCGTTCAGTGTTGATTTCTGCCCATGGACTAGAATGAGCATTGGTAAGTATGATCACACTGGAAGCAGGGAAGATGGAATACGTTTAATCAATATTGCGGTCTGATAGCTGAGGGTCTTCATCTGCAGCTGTTCAGCTGGTGTCTCATACATATCTTCATGACAGCCGTGCCCAGCCAAGAGCAAGGTTTCCGAGGTTTATACCCAAGGTCGACTTTGCGTTTCGAGAGCACTTGAAGTAAAAAGTGAAGCGTGTTCTAAAGTCTCCTAAGGAACAAAATTTAAACAAAATGTTGTTAAATTTATGTGCAAGCAGCAAAAAATAGCCCTGTTAAACAAAACCCAAAGATTTAAAGAGTGAAGAGGGCTTGTGGAGACAAAAGAGAGGGAAATAGGTTTAGCAAGTTGCCGCCTGGTATGGAATGAAAGGAAAAAACCCTGAGCTGCAAACTCATCAAAAACACAGTTGTTAATTGAAAAGCTGACAGACCTGTAACTACAGCAGTGCTTCTGGCCGCCACTATAATAAATGTAACTGTACATTTAGAATAATTTGCTAATTTGCCTAAGTAACACCCACAGACAGCAACATGACATAAATACATTAGTGGAAGCAACAACTATAACCAGCTTGTACAGGTTCTTGGCTGCTAGATGGATGGATCAGATGAGCTGGAAAAGATCTACAAAACAGAGTAGAAATGGAATTGCTAACAATATTGTGGCATACAGGATTTCATTATTTCCCTGTTTCCCAAGAATTCTTTCAGGCCTGTAGGTTCCCATACATATTGTAGCATGTAAGTAACGTTTTTAACTTGTGTGTGTATGTGTGCACACGCCCGGAAAACTTGTAGAGATGGAGTACACATCTGCAAAATGCTAAGCATTTCAGAAGCAAATGACAGAATTTACATCTCAAGTAGTCTTTCAGGTAAATAATTCAATCTCCAGCATTCAATGTGTAATTGCAACTATCTGGAAAGAGTTTCTGTTAATAAATATTCTAAAGGTACGTATGTATTGGGTCCCCAGGAAAGACTGGAACAATAAATTTTCCTAATACAGGTGTTACAAGTTTCTGAAGCTTATACTGATCTTAAAGGTCTTTTCCAAGCAAAATGATTCTATGATTCAGAGTTACCCAGATCTTTTCATTTGGCAGATAATGAGTTCAGCCATGTGGCATCTCCTCTGGGCTAGCACTGTGCTCGGTCTTCTGTTTCTGTAACTCTGAATCACGCTGTTGCATTTTATTAAGTTCTAGTCATGCCAACTTTGGCCACTGCGTATTGACTGCTGTTTTACATTCTCCAAATATCCTACCTTTAGGTTAGGCTTGAGGTCATCATTAAAGGTTTCTATGTTATGAGCAATATATTTTAAAAGTACAAAATGACAAGGTTGCTGCTATGCAAACTGGGTCTTATTTTCAATAAAATATTTCTGCTCCTAATCTCCCGTTCTGACTGTCTTCATCCTGATGCAAATTACTAGTGCAGAAGCAAAGCTAATGAATGCAGCTTTACGCAGTTTCTGTCTTTGTTTCTTCTCAGATATATTTAGAAGGTTTCTGCTGAGCTTTTTGAGACAGGTGATGCCTGCTCTCAAGGGCAGAATCCAGTTGATAACCAAATGTGGAGTCAGGTGGAAAGTTGCAGTGCTGCTCTCAGGAAGAACCCACGTGTGTGGGCATATATATTCTTGCCTTCGGCAGGAGGTTGTAAGGTTTTTCACTAAATACGGGTTGTAAAATATTCTTGAACATGAGTCACTGTAAATTACAGTCCATGGATCTAAGGAAGTCACTGAGAAAATGGAGCAGGAAAAAACATGGAATACAGGCAAACTCTGAGACTTCTCTGTGGGATGTGGAGTTTTGACAGCTAAACCCCATCCCTGTTTCTTGCTTGAAGGCTTGATCTTAATATCAGGGCAAAGAGAGCAGCAGACCCCTCTGTCTGGCCCAAGTTCTGAGTCTGTAAGACTGTAAGACCACAGCCTTGGGAGAAGAGTGCTGACATTATTTTATGAAGCGTTATGGCCAATCTTCTTTGAACCCTAATTTCTGTCAAAGAGTTATCATCACTGTCACAGTAAGTGATACTTGCAGCACAAATGGCAATTAACTAGAAGTAAATAGTAGAGCAGAAGTCTGCAGGCTGGTTTTTAAGGTTGATGAGTTGAAAGTAGTTTCAACACATTAATGCTAAGCATGCTAAATCATAGTCTGCCCTGAAAAAGACAGTAATGTCATTTACCTGAAATCACCAGGAATTATAGAAACACGTAGTAAGGATATGCTCAATTGTTTCAAATATGTGAGCATATTATAGGATTTGATAATAGTTTGTGAGTCTGTCTGTTTTCTTTTATCAGATTTTCCATAAAACAAGTAATTTGTTTGTTTTTCACTGTTTTAGGTAGCCTGCCCTATGAATACAAGATTGTGATAGCAGGAAATCATGAATTGACCTTTGACCAGGAATTCATGGCTGACTTAATCAAGCAGGACTTTTACTATTTCCCCTCTGTCTCTAAGCTGAAGCCAGAGAGCTATGAAAATGTACAGTCTCTTCTAACAAACTGCATCTATCTTCAAGACTCTGAAGTGACGGTGAGGGGATTCAGAATATATGGCTCCCCTTGGTAAGCAGGTTTTTAAGCATACACAAAAAAAATTGTTGATTGCTGTCACATCAGCCATTTCATAAGCATCAGCTATATTTGGATTGCTGTGTTAGGAAGAAAAGTAATACTCAGTTTGATAAAGTTTTGATATTTTCTTGTAATGAATCATTCCTGTGACAAAATAATGTATTTGTACTATGGGTATTGTTAAGCAAATAATGTTGGGAAAAAGACAGTGTGCTCTTTAAACTCTCAGCCAGGAGCAGTTCTCTAACATAGTCCATGGAGTGGGTTTTTGTGTCATAAAATAATGTTTTCTATACATAGTAGGTTTATATAATTACAGGTTAATTTAATTGCAAGGGTACATTCTTGTGGCAATTTCCATCCTATATATAATATTTAAGGTTCATTAGTGTATACAGTAGTGATTTGATGCAGCAAGCTTGTTTCAGTATTTGTTTAGGCTTTTTTTTTTTTTTTTTTACTAACCCTCAGAATCTTACTTTCTTTTATACAGTAATAACTTTCCACAAGGTATAGTTGAGCTTCTAAACTAAAGTCAACAAATCAGTGGCAACCTAGTATTTAATGGATTTTGCTCTGGGGCATAGAGCGAACACTTAGAACTCCTTGACAGTGTTGGAGACACATGGGCTTTGGCTTCTTGACCTGCACCTTGGACTTCATATGTGCTGCTTCTATGTCTCTTACTCATGTGGCATTGCTACTATGTTATTTCCACTAACAGGACTGTAATCAGGTCTTCTATGAGCATTCAGTATACATAAGTAAAAATGTATTTTAAAAGGCAGGTTTTTAAGGGAATCTGTTATTCTTCCTTTTAAAATCACATCAGGCTGGAATGTAGCAAACAAGTTGTCAAACCTGATGCATATACCCCAATGTGAATTTTCAGTGTGAATAAACTGTGAAATCTCTTGGATTTTTTTTTTAATGAAAATTGGCATTTTCCCATTTGGTTACTTGAGATGGGTGTTAATTTTCTCTGAGCTTATTATTCTACATTTGTCTACATTAAATAGCTTCCCTCTTAAATGCACCCTTCTCTCTCTCCCTCCTAGATCTTCAGATCCTTCTGGGTTTTTTTCAACCTACCCACCTGCTGTGTTGTAGTTCATCTTCCTCTTGTGTCTACTGTGTATTCAATCAATGTACAATTTACTTAATTTTCCAAATTATTAGGGAAGATATTAGATGGTATCAGTCCCAATATTAACTTCTGAGAAATGCCACTTGGCATCTCTTCCCATTTTGATGTTCAACTGTAAATACTGTAATTATGCTCTGTTTACAATATGTCTGGCAACTTCATATCTTCATTGCAATATTCGTAACCAGGCACCATATTTCCAGTGTCAGTAATAATATTCCAGGCAGTAAAGTACCAAAAGTCTCATTAAAGTCTAGATAGATTAAATTAAAGCAAAACGCTATCTGTAAAGTAGCACTAAGTAGAGGCTAAAGGAAACCGTTTGAACTTTCTGTGTATGATTAGATCTGTAAAAATCTGTTGAGAAAACTTTTGTCCACCCACTACCCCATAAATAAGGTTTCTGTAAAGTCAGATCTGCCGCATTTCCTTTGTGCGCTAATCCTGTCATTTTGCACAAGTTGTCTAAGCTATCTGGCATGACCTATTCTTCATGAAAAAAAGATTGCTTTCCGTCTTTTATGCATCTTCAGGTTATATCTAAACTTCCACACTACATGTTTCACAGTGTTGCTAACTCATCTCCCACCCCCTTATGGTCTTGGAAGATGAGTGTTGTAAGGCCCTTTGAAGATCTTTGCTTACACCGTATGGGAGAAAGTCCTGATGAAAGTCTTCCAGCCAACCTGGTTTTTTTGCTTGTTATTATGCAATGCCGGATGGCTTGATGAAAGTCTTCCAGCCAACCTGTTTTTTTTTGCTTGTTATTATGCAATGCCGGATGAAGCTTCAATGCTAATTGATGTTGTGTCCAGTGGAAACAGCAGCAGTAATAGCAATGATAAGTTGCCCTTCGTCAGTCTATCAGAACAGCAGATGCAGAAGTAACAGTCAATCAGCCAGCCCACCAGTCAGAAAACTTAGGAAGAGAAGCAGCTGTTTTGTGGGGGTTAAACTAGCTGCCTGCTAGATGGAAGGCTGTAGTACAGGTCTGTGCCTACTGATCGCTGCTGTTCTTTAGCATTTGGGTTTGTTTCTATGTTTTGTTCATCCTGAAAAGACTGCTTTGTCATAGTTTCTCTGGGAAATCAGTCTCCGTTTCTTTCTACGTCATAGTAATGTAATCTATAAAAAAATGCAGAGCTTTGGTGAACTTTCCATAGTGAATCTTTTTTTTGCCCTTTCATCATGAAGTCAGGCCTGTAGAAAATGCTTATGAACCTAGCCAAGACTGCAAAATTTAGAGTCCTTTAAGATCTCAGAACTCAGCAAGAAAGTTAAATTTCAAGCAGTTGCTTGTTTAGTATCCTAAAATAATTTTCCAGCCTTGAAAATATGCAGCTAGCTTTTCAAATGGATTTATTTAATTGGAGAACTCCCAATAATGGAGTTCTCTATTTGATGAGAAGGTGAGCTATCTTGAAATTAAAAGGCTGGGGCCCCAGGTCCTGCCTTTCCATTTCTGTTACAATCCTGATTTTCTATCATAGCTCACCCTTTGTAAAAAATAAGTGCAAGCTAGACATATCCCCCCTTTATAAAACAGGTTAGTTGATAGTTGCAAAGTACTTTGAGAATGCTGGAGTAAGGTCTGAGTGAATGACAGCCAGCATTAGTGTGTTTACCTGTAGCCGTCTGCATTTTTATGTGTGACCTGTACACAATTACATTGTTCTTCTGCTTAAGATGTTTTAGTTGCAAAATAAACTACGAGAGCTTGATTCCTTTGCGTAACATGCGAGTCTCTGATGTCTTTTTAAATATGTACCATTTGTGTGTGGTTAAGTATTTTTCAATAGCACTTGGGTATTTTGACCTCTATTATTATCTAAAACTCAGTGGTTATTTTTAATTGTGTAGAAGAAGTGGGACATTGTTTTCTCTCAGAAACTAATGCTCTAACTCTCCTGGGCTCCAAGGGCAAGATTTCAAGTGCCAGATTGAGCCTCTACTCACTAACGAAAATTTAACTGCCTTAAATGTTAATTATGCTAGTATTATCATCAAGCAGGGAGCAGCCATTTTGAAATGCAAGCTGCAAAGCACAAAAGCTGCTATTTAGGAATTAGCGTTTGCAACATTGGTATTTTGGACCGTGGGTTATCAGTATAGATGATGAGGGAGAGGAGTATAAAAACATCAGATGCTTCATGAGAAACTTGGAAATACCAAGATGTTAAATGTGTCCAGAGCAATCTTGAATTTTAAGCGTGGCTCTGTTTGGCCTAGGGGGCTGATGCTTTTGACAGTGCACCATGCAGTGTTGATTGCCAGATCTGGATGAGCAGGGCATCAGTAAGAATGCAACGTGCTTCCTTCTAGTGTAGCCCAGATGCTGGGAGCCATTGTGTTTTCTTCTCGTATAAGTCCTGGATACGATGATTTTTTTTTCATAAAAAGCTAGGCATGGGAAGATGCACTCTGGTTTCTTCCCAGCAAAACCCAGGACATGGCCAGACCTGGAAGCAATCTTGTGTAGAAAACAGCCATAGTTGCTATGTATGTAAAACGAAGACTTTGGATCCTCAATAGCATTTATTGTAAACTGGAAAACTTCTGGTTGGAAAGTGCTTTTTAAACACCCTAATTTGTTCTGGACTGCTGTGAGAGAAGTCAAACTCTCAGATAAAATAACCCAAATAATTCTATATAATGTTTCTGTATAATGTACTTTTGACTGCTAAGCCTTCCCGAAGATGAAACCATTTCCCAGAGGGGTTTGATTTCTTTTTCAGTAACATACAAAATCATAACATAGAAGTAAAAATACAGCAAGCAGGAACACCAGAGAGGTATCAGAGAATCCATCCTTAGGTGTTTTCAAGACTGGGCTAGATAGTCGTGGCTGACCAGATCAAGTGGTAGGGAATGGTAGGTTGGACTAAAGATCTCCAAAGGTCCTTTTTATGCAATGTTTCTGTGATTCTGTCAGTTCCGCTGTGGAGCTAGAGCTAGGTGTCAGTGTTGATACCTGAAATGAACAGGTATCAACAAAGTCCTTACAAGCAGTAGATGGTTCTGACAGGTGGTTTGGAAATCAGGATGCCAAGGTAATAGTGGAAATTTGAACTTGGATTTGAAGCAGAAGGTCTTTTCTATGTCATCAGACTGGGTATGATCTCTATGATGACATCATTTATGGAACCATATTAATAAATGATTAGTGAGTATTTCAGTTATAGATTTTCAGCCTTCTATTACAGTTCATTACCACCACAACATGTTATTATTTCGCAAGTAAGAGTTCTAGTGTTAGCTACAGCTGGAATGAAGATAGGCTGTACGATCCACTTGTGCCTCTGCACTGCTGAAGATTTTAATAGCACAGTTGCACACTGTGTTTGCACAAACCCCCCCGATGCAGTCAATGCATAAGATCTGCTGTGCTTGCTGAATAACTATATATTATTCCTTTTATAGTCATTATTCAGAATTGCCATGTAAAAATAAATGCCTGTAAAGGTGCATGTACATTTTTGTAGCAGCGTGAGAACACCTCTCTGAGGATCATACTCGCATGTGTGATCCTGAGTGTTGCTACGTCTGCTTCTCTGCTGCACAAAGTTCCAATAAGGGACTCTGCCCTACTACGTGTTTTTTCCATTGATTTTTTTACAAGTCGGTGAGTAACTTGGATCGCTGTTCTCCTGTTGCATGCAGTAACTAATGATAAAGCCTGAAGACTAATGAATTGACCCCTGATCAATAATGAGAAGCTGTTTGTGTCTGGCAAAGGTTATACTGGCTGTTCCCCCAATGTCTACTATGGCATGCCTGCCTCAAATTTATAGAAAAGATGTGCATCTGCAGAAGAACAGGTATTCTGTGTGTATGCTCTGATCTT